AAAGTGAGAGGATTGCCTGAGCTGAGGGTTTCGAGACCAGCCTGGGCAACTTGGTGAGAGCTACAACAAATCAAAAAAATTAGCTGGGCGTGGTGGTACACGCTTGTAATTACAGCTACTTAGAAGGCTGAGGCAGAAGGATGGTCTGAACCCAGCAGGTCAAGACTGTGGTGGCTATGAATGTGCCTCTGCACTCCAGCCTGGGCAACATGGTTTTTGTTGTTTGTCTGTCTGTGTGTCTGTCTGTCTGTCTCTTTCTCTCTCTCTTTCTTTCTTTTGACAGGGGCTCACTTTGTCCCCAGGCTGAGATTTAGTGGCATAATCATTGCTCACTGCAGCCTCGACTTCCTGAGCTCAGGTGATTCTTCCACCTCAGTCTCCCGAGTAGCTAAGACTACAGGTGCCTGCCACTGTACCTGGTTAATTTTAAAAGTTTTTTTTTCTAGAAATAAGGTACAGGCAATCCTCATCACTATATTGCCCAGGCTGGTCTTGGACTCCTAGGCTCAAGGGATCCTCCCACCCCAGCCTCCCAAAGTGCTAGGATTACAAGTGTGAGCCATTGCGCCTGGCCTAAGTATGGTATTTTTTGGAGACAGTGTCTCATTCTGTCATCCAGTGCAGTGCTGTGATCATAGCTCACTATAACCTTGAACTACTGGGTGAAGGGGTCCAGCCCCTTTGCCGGGTCGTGAGATCTCCTGAAGGAGAGACAGATAGGCGAAAGACGAAAATCTTATTCCCGGACACCTGCTTCCTGAACAGATGACCTCCTTTATTAGTTAACAGAAAGCTTTTATAGCATTTGTAAAAGGGGCAAGACAAAGAAAATTCCTTCATGTACATATGCTTTAAAAGTTACCACCATCTAGCGGTCTTTAGAAGAAACGAATAAGCCAAAAACACTATCTACTTTCAGTTAATGAGTCTTGAGATAAGTGTAAAAGGAGTTTCACTTCAACTAAACATAATGCATACAAGGTTTACTTTGACTTCAGTTCCACATCACTTGTCTAATTAAAAAAGCCTTAAAATCACTAATACAAAACTATAGATTGTACATAATGATAGTAAGAATATGAAGCCCATTAACTTGACCAAACAACAGTGGCTAACATTTAAAGAATAACTATGAAAGTCACTTACTGTGAAGATACATACACTAATCTTTACTCTGAATAAACATATAAAGTGAACTAAACATAATGAAATAAAACTAACACAACTAAAATTATTATGGTTGCATAATTGCCAATGAGCTTTTAAGTTTAGGATAATGGTGATTTGGCTGTTTTCCCTTATGCTTGGCAACCTCCTGGAAAACATCTTTGTCTTAAAATAGGCAGTGGGGCAATTATTATTATCTTTGAGGCACCAATTTTATCATTGTGTGAACTTAAACTTATGAACTTAAAACAATCTTCAAAGTAGCTATAGCACTAAAACTTAATTAATGACACAAAGTAAAAGCCTTGTTAAACATAACCAGAGCCTAATAATTTTTGTGAACCCTCATACATATGTATATTGATTATATAAACTTGTATGATATTACATTTACCAATTATGATTCATACATGGATAAAACAATTATCATGTCAAGAATAGCACTGCCAGGAACTCTCTTCAAAAGAGTCCCAAATTACAGTCCTTGAAGTGCTTCAAGAAAGTTCCCAGGTGCACGGTCCTTCGTGTAGCAGTTCTTCTCTTTTGGGCTTTTACGACCTTCAAAGCTTTTGTAATCACCTTTCTTGTCCAGATGTCTTCGTTACTTTTCTCTTATCCTGCAGTGTTTATTTCTAAAGAAAACTCAAAAGAAGTTTTAATGACATTTCCCAGGCCCCCAAGGTTGCTTTCTGTATTTAGTTAATTATCATAGAAGTATCTAATTAGTATATTATGAATTCAGTGAAAACCCACTCTATAAACGTTTACTTAAAATTTAACTAAAGAATTAAGTAAAAACCTTAACGATTAATCTTTATCCTAAGTCTGTGAAGACAGTGTTGTAAATCACCTACATAATTCCTAGATAAGTGTTAGAACTTATAATGAGCTCATAATGAACTTACCATAAACTTGTGCTTCTAAAAAACCTTACGTCTGAACACTAAGCTGCATAATTCTAAATCAAATAAGGAGTGAATATACTTATATCATTTTTTACTCAAGCAATATCTAGTAACTTATAACCAAGTGAAAGAAAGCATTCTTGATGTGCTTCAGAGTTTAACCCTTGCATATGTTAGAAAAGGCCAAGCGGCATAGTGGGAAAATGGGAAGATGAACCATGACCTTCTCAGATTAGGTGTGAGTACTTCGCATAAACATGCCATTTTCTTCTTCCACGACTGCACAGAATTTCTTCACCCATATCAAACAGCAAAGGTGGAAGACAGAAGGGCCTCAGTTTCCCGGGCTCGCCCTGCGGCC